AAAAGCAGTCAGGTATTCTGTTCAAAAAGTAACGTCTTATTATTACACTCCAAAATCTTATTCTAAAATATTCACGTGATCATAAGCATCACACTGCTCAAACCGAGCTAATTTACAGCAAATATAGTACAACAGTCAACATTTCCTAAACACAAAATACAATTGTCATCGACCTAGTGAACGTGATTTGAGGAACAGCACATTATTTTAAACCTATCTTGAAGCATGAAACAACCGTTATGCAGAAAGGGATAATGAGGCCAACAATGCCTCTCAGGCGGCATTTGAAACAGTGAGTGAGCTGAGCAGCTAAATGGAGTTATCACCGTCCTCGTTAGCATTCTGCAACGATGCAACTGATCAATAACGACCAATACTGATCAGATAAAAAGCACAAAAGATATTGAGCAGTGAGTGAAGGCATAGTTTCTTAACTAAGTAAAATTGGAAAGGAATAATTAGAAATATAGCGCAGCTACTGAACAAGTGCACCGACGGTCAGTTACTCTCAAATCGTCGTTCAACATCAACACAAGTAACAGTCACTATGTGAACAAGCAAGCAATCAAATAATGTCACATTTAAAATGATAACAACAATCGTTCATCAAAATTCGATAAACGAAAACAATCGAACAAACAAAAAATCACGTCATTCTAGCGAAATATCGTTCCAGAAAGTCAGCGCCAAATAAAGGCCTTCAACAGTTCCAGGTATTCATATTCAAGCAATATCAAATGGAAAATATGGCATTTTCTGGGATGTTTGCAATGAAAAAGACATCAACGAAATAACAACAATCAACAATTTAAATGCACGAAAAATAAACCACTACGAAACCAATCAAATAATTGCACCCTAGCAACAAAGCAAAAATTAGTGTCATCAGAAACAATAAGAAGGCAGCAATATCACAACGAATAACAATCGCACATTTCATAATCGACACTCTCAGATGCACAAAAATGTTAGTTGCAAATGGATCGACGGATCATTTCAACAAATATTTTTTTAAACAGAACCACATAAACGCATCCATAGAATCAGAACTGGTGATGAACAAAGAGTTAGCAGATAAACATTACGGATAATTTTACTGAAAAATGGTGCCATAAGGGTGGAAGCGAAGAATATGGCCGGTGGAAGCGTGACAGCGAAAGAAACGCGTGGCGCGTTCTTCAACGCTAAATTCGGTAATCCTTCTCCATCATAGAACGCTTGCAGCATTCTGAAATTCACAGACACACACTCAGTGGGAAACTTCATAAATTTATTCGATATTCATAGACACTTCTTTCTATTCCTAATTATTGATATTCGCCAGTAGATATTAATTAATATTGACATCAACAGTGATTATTTTCCGTTTAACAGCGAACATGAGAGCGTAAGTTAAAGATACGCCGACGGTTTATGAAACGAAGTGGAATTTTTTTGAAGAGGAAACGAAAAGAGTGAAGTGCAGTAGATTGAAAGTATATATGAGAAAATGCAAACCGATTCTTGATTTCATATCGATAAAAGAGCCATTTTTTGAGGGCGTCTGTATCTTGTGGCAAATCATTAACACTGAAGCGTTGAATGTGAATATGCAAAGTACGTTTTGGATTAATACCACATGCGAATTCAAACATGTCTGGTGCAAGCTTCTCGCGACCAGCTTCTCTGAAGCACAACAAAATCCGTAAATCAAAACTCTTCCACCAGTCCTCAATTATCACCTAAATACAATAACCAAACTAGAAACTAATGAAATATCCTAGTGTTAATAATGATTTTTTTAAATGAAAAGGCTTTTCGTAATGTCGAAATAAATGCAATAATGGAATCTTTTGAGAGCAGGGAATCGACGCTCAATATATAAATTTGCTCCAAGAGGCGAACTCACATTGCACTACCGATATAAATCTACTATCTACTCTCAAAACCATCCCAGTTGAAAAAACTGTCAAGTGAGGAGACAATGTTTCTCTAGAAGTTTTCACAGCTTGTCTCGAAATGGTCATTCGAGAGATCAACTGAGACGGTGGTGTCAATATCAATGACAAATCATCTTCGATTTACAGACGACATCAAGCTCACCGTGAAAACGAAAAATGAACTGCAGGCCATACTGGCAAAGCTCACCATTAAGAGTGAAGCTATTGGCTTAAGACTAAACCGTAAAGAAAACAAAATTCATGCGGTCAAATAACACAGCCCAGATATGAAAACGGAAATTGGTAGAAGGATAAGACACGGATGGTAGGCGTTTAACTCGATACAGGTTGTGTTGAAAGGGAAAATAAACCCCTCTTTGAATGCACCGTCTTATTTGCGTTATTATATGCGAGTGAAACGTGGGCCACAACAAAGAGAGAAGAACAACGCTTCGTAAAAACACAAAGAGCGATGGAGAGGTGCATGTTAAGAACATCATTGTGGAAACATATCCGATGCAAGGAGATTTGCCGGAGTGGAGTAAGGAACGTGATTGCAGAGTACTGGAAGAAAAAGCTACGTTGGACAGGCTACGTAGCAAAAATAAAAGATGATTGATAGACCCGAGCAGTTGCAGAGTGGTATCCAAGAGAAATAGGACACGCGGAAGACCTTCAATGAGATGAAAAGACGATATTACGAAGGAACTTGGAAACACCTGGCAAAGGAAGGCAAGGCCATGGACCGAACGGAAACGCATTATGGCCAACAATGTTACAAACGTTCGATAGCCTGGCCAATCGAGGTAATACAAAAATTGACGAAACTGAATAAAATCTCAGCTGATACCAAAATGCATCATTCATATGAAAGGAAAACTGATTCTGAGCTTAGAACATGGATGAAAATTGAATTGATTAAGTTTTATTGAAGGTCAACGTTGAAACTCTTATCATCATAAAAAGAGAACTGCAAAAGAAAACGTATTGGAAGAAGAAACGAACGTGCTCTGATCGTATGCAAGCGTGATGTCGTAAACCGCATCAATTGAATTTCTTAAGTTGATCATCGCTATCGCAAAACCATTCGTGCGTGGCGTTAGAACGTTAGTGAGTACCTAGAATTCAATTACTTCAATATGTATTACTCAACTTTCAACGAAACCTTTTCGAATACCGTCCATGCGCTTTGCTGAACGAACCACAATGAGAAACGTTCACTACGGCAAAATTCACAGCAAGACTTCAAGTCTGAATGAATGAAAACTTATCGTTTAAAAAAAACGAGCAAACGAGCAACAAACCGGAATTCCGATCTGTTTACAATACTGTTGACTTGACTCGATAATAGCGCGCTTCTTAGGCGAAAATCGTGTTCCTTCCGGAAAAATCAAAAGCCAGAACGGGTCATTCAAGGATCGCAAAAACGATAACTGCTGTTCTACTGCTGACCATATAACATCGCCAAGTCGTCGTACATATATAAACCCACGCTATAAGCACTTGAAGATATATGGGAATGTATCGACTTTTTTTGTAGAATGAACGATGAATTAGAGGTTGAGAATTAAAAACTGAAACGAAAACGAAACAATGAAGTTTATCGAAACGAATGCATCAGTATTTCATCTTTCGAATCAACCGTTAATGAATGAATGATTTACAAATAATAACAAACCTGATAGGTGTACCAACCAAATAGCGGTAAATAATGAATGACGTATTTAATCATAAATCGAAGAGCGCGTTCGTTACCTTTTTGACGATTTGCAATCATTGTTATAACGATCCAATCAACTGAAATAAAAATCACCTTATGAGTGATATTTACACACTGAAAATACCTCCTAATAAAGCATTGCCAATCAATCATTTCAATAAGGTACAAACCGAGAATCGATGCTGTTTTATTAGACTCGATTTTCATACAATTGTAAACATCAGATGTATTCTGCTTGAAAATATCGTTCGATAAATGAAAAATGAATACCATTAGACTGATGATTCGACAAGACAATCGCACTTTCTTGTTTAGTGAATACTGCATCAACATCACCATAAAAATTTATCTGTAAACCTCCAGAAAAATTTATTTGCAATAATCGCTGAGAAAATCTAGAAAGGGAACAAATTCTACAATGAAAAGTCTGAAGATTTAAACTCTTTAAAAGTGTCAACTACCATTCTACGATGGAACATTTTCCGATTATCAAGAAAAATCAGTCATTCATCGGATTCCATTCTGATTATCAAAAATAAATTTGCTTCTCTGCTAGACAATTCAATCTACTTTTCGACGAATTTTCTTGGATGAACGGATGTATGAAATTTTTATTAAGGCGTACGTTGACTGCGGCGACATTCTCGAAAACAAAGAGACACATTCGCATATACGCTGAATACAGAAGGTTATCGGCGGCTAAAAACACTCTCCTAGGTATGAAGCATTTGAAGGCGGTCATTGCAAGTGAAATACTTGCGAATGGTACCATTGAGAGTGACAGGTATGCAGCCGGGAACATTGAACGCAACTCGTTCACCGCCACCAAAGTCGACAGTACCATACTGCCTGCTACAACAACAACAACCCTTCATTTAAGTTCATCCATCACCCACAAACCAAACCCCACTGTATTTGTTCGACACCGAATCTAGCTACACGAACGAGCGACGTTGTCGCCTCAATTCGATTTGCTTATTGAGCGATCGTCAAACTGTTGAATCTTTCCAAAACTTACATCATCAATCCACCACACAAACATACCAAATTAAAGAAGCGTTTACAACATGACCACCACCGAATGCGCAAAAAACGTCCAAAAAATCGTCACAAATTCTTTCAACTCGGAATGACTGATGTTGTATGAGGAAATTTTCATCTTCGAATGCAACAAAATCAGGAAGCAGAAAAGTGGAAACTGCCGCTTTTATAAACATAAACTGAAAAAAAAAAGAAACCATTTATTCAGAGAAAAAGAATAGAGAACACATCCCATATTACACAATCCAGTTGCATAATAGTCGCATGTAAAATATGGATTTTTTACTGTCATTCATAAAATAATCAATGAAGCAATTTAGATTAAATCACAATGTAACATTTGTCATTAATAAATCAGTAATGAATACTTTATTTCTGATAATAAGCAACTTCCATGCACACGAATACAACCAAACTCCGTTCAGTTACGACGTCTGCGTTCTCTTTGCTGAAAACACATTTACCTCTTATCTTTGAGTAAGTAACAAATCAACAAAACAAACGCACACATGGTAAAGTTTGAAGTGTACACGTAAATTTTAACAGTACTGAATACATTTTAAAAGGTACAAACAAAGCTACTTGTTAATCATGATATCAGCAGCTATTGGTTTCAAGAACGATTTCAACAATCAGTAAAACGCACTTCTTTGTCGCTAAGCAGAATGAGGATGTAACGGAAGAGATTGATGAAGTCGAGGAATAGTTCAATGGTATGCCATAGGTAATCGGTATCGCCACGACGACGTTTCTCACAGATCATTTGTGTGTCGTAAAGGATCAACGCACAAGTGACAGCCAATCCCATCCACAACACCATTGTCACCACCAACTGTGAACGTGCGAATAGCATTGTCACTATCATGATCATTATCGTTGAACTGATTGCTCCTGAACCAATCAACTATTTATTCATACAGCATACTTATTCCTAACAAAACACTGCAACGAACACCAACTCTAATTGATTTCAGCGTGGCACAGCAACGTCTCATGAAAATGATGCTGCTTTAGACAATAACATCCATAAATTGTAAGTTTCCAAATGTGATGGAACTAAGCATACTCTCAAGCATTACAATCAGAATTAAGACCAATCTATTTGGAAAATCGTATGGCATGAATGTAATGATGAATGTGCAGAACAACCAAATTGTTTACCTCCAAGATGAAGAAATTTAGTAGAGGGTGCATGCAGAGCGGCCAATGAAAAGCATCCGAAGATGATCGCTGTACCCAAAAATGCCGTCAGCAGGATCGAAGGATTGAGCTGCATCACATCCTCAATTTGTGGTCCCGTGCTCATACCTGTTATTATTGTCATTATTATTAATATCCATGCAACTACTACCACCATCAACATGAATGCGCAATAACTCAGTAAATCATCAAACATTTGACGCGATAAAAACTGCTTAAAATAAAATAATGTGGCGATGGTAGAAAATAGAAACAGAGTAAACTACAAAACGGTGGTAAACCAGCTAACAAAAGTTATTCTAAATCTCTGTACTTTATCTTGTATTTGTTATGAGAAACTCAAAACTAACCTTCGTTCAGCTTTCACCTAAACGACATTAATAAAAGTTTCACTACTTTTTGTCGAATCTGAATCTGATATTGAAAATTTCGAGAAACTGTGTACACTAAGAAACACTCACAAGGATGAGCTGTCTCAGCGGCATCAAAAACTGATCTAGGGGATAAACCGCGAACTGCTTCTGAACGGATTTTTGGAGGACGTTAAATCGGAAAAAGGTATAAGAATAAACGAACCAGTTAGGAACGCGAAAACAGCAAAATAGCCGAATCGGCGACGCTCATTCTGCGGGCTGTGTGGTGTGAAACACAATGCAAAGAAGCACGCGAGTGACGCGATGCTGAGAAGAAAATTAGCACGAACCACATTGAGCACTTCCAACGCTGCACCAGTTGCAGCCAGCATCAGACCAACACTCAGTGTTCCGTACACAATACGCAAATGATCCAGCACATCCTTCTCACTGAAATCATCATCAATCACCAATAAAACCTAATCCACTTTCTTCGTTTTGCTAACTGACATCACAACGCCACTACAGAACTGCCCGATATTGTGTTTTATATACACCCGCTTTTGATTACTCAACATGTGCTTTTGAATAACATACATATTTTCATGCAAAACGGAAATATCAACAAGAAATTCTCCACTAACAGCCACTTTCGCCAGTTGGAAAAGTGTTCCTAATTGACCGGGTGCTATTTTATTCTGACATTCGAGTGCAAGTTCACGGCCAACTTCACAGCTTAGATTCATGGTGAAATGTTGTTGCTCAGTTTTCTCGAGTCAATGTAATTTCAAATTGAAACGTGGTATCAATGCGAAAACTGTTTCGCATTGATACCACGTTTCAATGTACAAAACTTGGTCGTTAAAAAGATGAAGTTACCAGTTCAATAAGATGGAAATATCAATAAGAAACAGAAACGATGAAACACAGATGCTATGAAAGAAAGCGATTTAAGGATGTTGGATAAGAGAAAAACAAACAGTTTGTTGTTAAGCGACGAGAAGACGTTGCGCAGGTTACGGAGGATATCCTCGCCTGTAGTTGGACGTGATCTCGTGTCAGTAGACATGACTGCTTTCGAGTCTGAAAATCAACCGAACTAAAATATGACACATGGCACATTTAACCATACGTAGATGAACAAAATATTCAAAATGGCTGAGAGTCAACGACACTCCATTGTCTCCCTTATCGGTTCAACTGATCCTCTCAGCAGTGAGTAAATAAAAGGGGGCTCTTGATAACCAACAACAACAGTGCACGTTTCGCAACTGCAATCAATGTTAGCATACGCACGCATTTGAATTTAATAACGCTTCATTTCAACAATTCTTATTATGAAAAGGATGACGCAAGTTGAAAATATCACGTTTCTGTGGGCATTCGGTACCTCATCGAAACCAATGTTCTCTTGTTATAGTGACTCAACAAAACTCATATTTAACATGCGTAACATTAGCAGACCTAAAGAACCGCGTTTCAATAAGTAAATTAGCCATGCAACGCAAACGTCCTCAACAGCACTCGAAAAAGTGAAGCTACCATCAGAAACTATCTCCTAGCAACATGACAAATCCATCGTTTGCTTCGCACAACACGATCGATAAATGTTATCATGTGTGAATGCCTGTGAACCACCAGTACGAATATCTCTTACAGCATACGATAGGGATGTGACAAGCGTTAGGGAACTCTTCATAATTCGGTATTTTCAATGGTCACGAATAATTTCCACACTGTGAATCAGTGATGTACTGCGTTTGTTTGCATGATTGTGATCATGAAATAAGACTACATTCTACGTGAAAATTTCCAAAACAGTTCATTTCCTGCGGTCAGAAAAAAAAAAGTTTTAAAAAACCGCCTAAGTCCTCAAAAAAAGTACAGAACCAGCTGATCAGCATGTCTGGAATTTTTGTGCTACCATTTCAGCTACTCATGAGGTCTTATAGTCTTCTAAGCTAATAGCTGCCCTCATAATTGATTTATTTGAATTATTGAAATTTTGGCAACCGGGTCAAATATGATAGATACAAATTTTATGTGACGGTGCAACGATTCAAGTAAATTTTACATTCTTTAATTGCTTCAATAACAACGAGCGAAATATATTCGAACTTTATTTGAATACGACAAACAATTTGCATACAATATGTGATCATAGCAACAAAACGAATGCACTACATACAAACATAACTCTCAAATGAATACATGTATTCTGTCAAAAATTTCGTTTTCAACTATACACGGAATCAATATATGACTTTATGAGACTGTTCGAAAAGCTCAATTTCCAAGGAATCAAGCTGCTGGTCTTCTTCAAAATCAACGAAACATTCCCGACTGTAAAATGCTGACTGAAAAAGATGCATTCGATTCAACTGTTCCCTAATGAATACTACCGAAATTTTAACCATTCAGTAGGTGATTGACATATTAGTTTATAATGGCTGCAAGAACATCACCTATCAATGGATGAATCTAAGGAAAGAAATTCCAACAGAGGTCAAATTTGAAACATTAATTACAAGATATATTAGTTTGCTACTGATCTAGGATAGTTGTTACTCAGTTGTTGTGAAATGCACAGTATTAGAAAACATCTCATCGTAAACATTTTGCAGTCCGAAAGTTCCAACGAAATCATATCAGCGTTTGATACTCGCCACTATTATCGCGATTAATTCAATAAAATATCGAATGAAAACATGAAAAAACACAAATGTCTAGATTCACAATTTGAATAATACATCTATCGTTATACCGATCAATACGATAGAATTAATGACGATAATAAAACATTCTTATTGCAAAATTAATAACACTGATAATAAATAATGTTAAAAAATAATTCCGTTCATATAACAAATTCATTAGCGATTTAAATAACGCCCACCAATATATGACTGATGTCAGTAATTCCTCGATTTACGTACGTTCCAGTTGGTTGATTACCGTTGAAATTAATATAGAGAAACGATCCTACACCTGAATCAAAACGAAACTACTCGAGTAGTGCTTGACGGCACCACTCACCGTAAACTATTTATGCAAAATCCAGCTTTGTATTCTAATAACATTTTTTCGCTGATGTTTTCAAGAAGAATGAAAGAGTTCAAATGAATGTTCACTTTCATAGAAACGGAATTGTACGTAAGAAGAGCATTCACCATATTAAGAAGCGTATAACAATCGTTAAATAATCCATAAATGAATAATTTCGAAATAAACAGTTAATTGAGGTATTAAAAGTACATTTAAAAACCCGGCAGCATTCCGATGAAGCGATGTAGAAGAGAGCGCTACAATGATGAAGTGAAAATCAAAAATTCACTCAAAAATATAAAGATCGGGTTTGTAATGCATACTTCACTGATTAAACTGTGGAGGTTGCGAAGAGAAAAACTGAAGGGTCAATGGCGGTGGATAACCCATGAAGTGCTGCTCGGTCGCATCATCGAACTGAAATTAGTAATAAATTCAGAAACATTTTCTAAGAAACAATGATTAACATCGCAAAAATCAACAGTGGCAAAATTTCAGAAACAACTGATCAAATAGAATGAATTTAAATGTGGCTATGATGACTGCCTGCGGTAACAAATTTAATGTTACAGTTCTTTCCGTCGCATGCTTGAATTAGTAATTTCATATTGATCTTAATCCATTATTGAACAGTTTCACGAAAACTGTCAATGTGCTAATAGATTGCTAACGTTGTAGAAAGCTTCAATGGAAGCAACATGATAGCGGAGTGTGTGTACTATCGTTCGGAGAACGTTCACGATAGTCGGTGTTCCAAAGCCATGGGTTAACTAAAATAATATTCATTACTGTTTTATCATGTACCACTCCAGTACTAAGTATTCATTAATGTTTTATCATGTACCACTCCAGTTCACTTTCTAATGCGACACTTTATAATATATCGCGTAGTGATGAGTATAGCATCATAAAATGATTGAACTAAGACCAAACATCTTGTTTGAAGCATAATCTCGCACTGATGGACTATTAGTGCGATTATCATTTGAACTTATAAAGACATTAGCTATGAACAACGCATTCACCGAATAATCATTACATCGCATTTATGAGTGAATGAATGGCTTTTACATGTCAAATGAATATCAAGCGATTTCTCTCTTTTTAATTTCTAACTTCAGAACCAGAAAGCAAGACATATGAAAACAATTTCTGCTGTCCAAAACATATTCGTAGACGAATACCGAATTCAGCATATTTATGTAACAGGTTCAGCTTGCTATTACAATAACAGGATGGATACAATGAAACGAACACGACTTTTGATATAAAAGAACGAACCAACGAGAACTTCGTGAGTTGAGCTTGTGTTGGCTGATCAAGAACTGTATTTGATTGTGACTGTGGATGTGATATTGTAGGACTATTATCCGTAAGCAATACCTCATGCAATCCTTGTAAAACTGCTCTGAAATGGTTTGCAACCAACAATATACAGTTTCGCAACCGATTTCATCAAATTGCGCAGTTGAATGAAACCGAATGAATTCAATGAATAGCGAACAACTCATGAAATGTGATCTACAAAACAGATGAGCTTACAAGGCATCACGAATCATTCTTGACCGCTGTAAGGCGTGCTCAGGTGGTGTGCGACGTGTCAGCAATTCGCCAAGTTGTTGAGACGGGAATGACTCATTACAAAGTTGTGCAAAATCCCTTCCCAAATGCTCGGCTTCCTCTGAAATGATGATAATAAGAATAAAGATGTGTCTCAGAATTCGATATTACCACCGATAAAAGCCAATCACTGACAAACGAAACGAACTTCGTTTCACATTCACCGAAATTTTTCTCATACTATTCAAAATTTCAAACCCGATGTATTCAGATGTTCGTCTAGCTGAATCATAAGTAGTTATAGTAAAGCTTGCAAATGAAAACGAGCACTGCAATAAATGTGATTCTTTTCATGTGCTTGTAAAACGTCTTTGCTAAACATATTATTACAGTCAATTATAGCGTAATGTGAGAATTTGCAAATGAAATTGAATCTAATTATGATACCCTCAACAAATGATGTAAATGCGGTTATGTTGGCGCCTCGACGACGTCCTGGCGGCAACGAAACACCGTTTTTCATCAGTTGACTGCGAAGTGCATTTGCACCTTCTTTCGTTTTTGCTCTTAATTAAATTTAGTCATTATTCACTAACATTGGAATGAGAAATTTAGTTCTAAAAGTATTCACCAATTTTGTTTGTCTAATTGGTGTTTGACGATTAATCAATTAAAAATTTCAAGACACTTGAGCAATGAAGATGATGAAGTACACAACGAAAGCCTTGAAATTTTCATAATGGAAGAATGCATCTTCTAGAGCGTAAAATGATTCGTTATGCAACAGTGCTGATGAAGACAATGAAAAACCTTCTTAAAATGCCACCGATGAGTGAGGCATTAAGGCATTCCGGATACGAGATTCGACGTTGTAATTCAGCTACAGAAACCTTGTATTTTGGTTGTGAGCTCAGCAAACTTGTTCGACCCGGAACTGTACAAAATGTCTCGTCGAGAGACGAACAACTACTCGACGCTATGCCATTGCTGTTTTCAGTTGGTGCACCACTATCAGTTGACGGTTCGTTCTCTACATAAATTTATCGAAATACATGTTAAAATTCATGAAGACAATTTAAAATAAAACTGTTTCTTATGTTTGTTTACAAACCGAATGAAAAAATAACTTCCAACCACCTTTGTTTACTCCATCCTCATCTTCTTCTTGATCATCGCTGTAATTCTGAACAAAAACAAATTATTGATCATCAAGTAGCGCTTTTCTGGAGGCTTAATATTTGCAATGTTTATGAGTTTTACAAAGAATGATTTAATAAAACAAATGAAAACAAAATCATGAATTGACTTTCCAGAAACTTCAAAATGCTAAAATTATGCCTGCGACAAAACCTGATCATGAAAGGGATTAAAAATCTGCTTAAACTCACTCCACTGTCCGCTTCAGCACAGCTTTGTGTAGGCGGTTGCTCGGCATTTGGTAAAAATCGAATCTGGGAAAGATTAAAGTGTACAGTTGTTTGATCGAAATTATAACTTAATACCTATATCAAGCATAATCGAAATACAGTCGACTTCTACAACAAAATCGCTCTGTTAAACGTTCTGACTTCACATCACAACCAAGATACTTTTTAGCAAGGTGGAGTATTAATGCGTTCACTTGCTTTGAAAAGCGATTACGGTAAAACGTTGACGCAATCGAAAACACTGCATACCTGATGAACATCGCTTGCGTTCGAGCCATAATAAGCACCAAAGGCATTTTGGGTATTGAAATAAGACGGTACAGCGGTCTGAAGTGGTTGCTGATGTCCATCTAATGTCGTATTGCTTGTGCTTTGAACACCCATCGATACATTACATACTGGTGATGTGTTCATATGATATTCCTGATATGCCGATATGTTTTCCTGGAAAATTTCTTATTTGCTTATTCTTAAAGCTCATTCGTCTATTCCTTCCTTGTCATCATTATGAAAATATCAAATGCTTACTCAGTTTTTGATTAGATTTTTTTATTTGCCAGTTTCCTTGCATCCATGAGTGCAAGAGTTTTAAAAAAGCGTCCGAAAGAATCAAATTCAATAGCGTTATATCAGTTTGCTAAGAAGCATATGAATGTGACCGTTTGAAGTCATTGCCGAAATTTTACAAAAATTACAAAGATTGTATCTTCATTGAATTAATACAGCACACGTTCACGTTTTTTTGTAAGAACTGTACCCAATGTATTCGTTCTGAACCTCTAAACTGATTGTGGTGCGTATTTTTGCACTGAACTTATAATCATTAGGATGAAAGGCTCGATTTCTAAAATAAAATCACTTTGTTAAAAGTCGACTTCCAAAATAAAATCGCTTTGTTAAACGTTCTACCCTCAGCATTACTTCGTGAACAAAACATAAACCGACCGATGACTGAATCATTGCCTCGTTAACTGCACCATCTTCATCTCTCGTACGCTTCGGTTCTATCGGTGAAAAAGTTGATATTTTCGCCTACAAAACTCTAGTGCGATTTTATAAGAACGTTGGAAAGGAAGCCGTGCAGTTTTGAGTTAAAGCAGATGTGCAATCAATATGTTCGTTCTAAAGTATCATTAGAACAATGGTAACTAGCAAACGAACATTTACAGTAAATGAACCAGCTAACCCACCATCTCATGCCATGTTCGTTTTAAAGTATTCGAAACAAGCGGTGTCGACGTGAGTGGACCAACGCAATGCCGGCTTGTTGATGATGTAGGCGCTCCATCGGATCGTTGTTGCATTTTTGCACTTCTGCAAAAAATTTTGATCTGTCCACATCAGCACTGACTATCGGAAAGATGCTTTATCATTGAATATCGGAAAGATGAGCTATCGAAAGCATTGGAAAAATAATAAACAGTTATCGAAAAAATTATTTGTTTAAATCCGTTATTTATTGGTTGACAAGTTTCACTTTTTGAACTCTCTATTAAAGAACGCGTTATACGAGCGATATCAATGTGTTGTGTATATTTGATAGAAGCTGTAAACAATAACACATTGATGAATATAGCAATGTTACAGTTAAATGATAATAACAGTAATAACGATTTCAAGAAAGCAGCGAGTACTTATGGGAAATAGTCGCCTGCGATGCATAGAGAAACAAGTTTTGCTGATGCGACTAGACACACATGTTTTGTTACTTCTACTGTTCCACTGATAGATATCAGTGGAATAGCAGAAGTAACAAAACACTGTAGATTATCTCATAAAGATCATTAATAAAATTCTAATAGTTCCAAACAATTGTAATACTCTCCCATTGGATATCATAAAGGAATTACTCAAACATCATTTCATAAGGCTAAAATCATTGATTTCTATTGAGTAACGTCTTGTCTTAATAGCATTGTATTTAACTCCAAATCGGAGATCGAAAACATTGAAACTTTGGAATTAAATATCGAACTTATAACTCAAAGAAAACGTTTCGTTAATTGTGCTCAAAACTGCCGTTCGTGTTCATGTACATTGCATAAATGTGGACGGTTAATCCGGGTTAATTGGTCAACAGTATCAAACAAATTGCAATTTTACATTAAAATTTTTTTCTTCTCGAAATTATTGATAATTCATCGAGATTTTACGAGTATAAAACAAATCACATATGCAGCAGATGCTCTGTATGACGTCTTGAACTCACTAAAAATACCGTAATCAGTGTCACAATACATAGTTGTCAATAAGCTTCAACGAATCAACATACGTGTACAAATGTGGTGCAGGTTAAAGAAAGATACGGTAATGCGTTGCTTTCTATTCGAATATTAAGAAGTGCAAAATGAAAAATTCGCAGGTCTTCTTATGCGATGAAGAAGTTTAAAAATTGAGCTGAAGCTGTATTTGCAAATTAGACGTCTTCTCATCACTTGTTTTAGCGTGATTACGAAAAATATTCACTGTTCAGTTTAAGACTTTAGACTGAACGCAGCAATCGCAGTAGTTTTTTCTCGCATTCTATTTTAAATTTACCGGAGCATCTATCAAATATGAATGGAATAAAAGTACACTTCATCAGTCGACCGTACTCATTCGAGAATAATGCAAGAGATTTGTCGTAGTCGTGTGAGTCAGTCAATGGAGGCAACAAGTATTTAGCAAGAATGAGATTCACTCAATGAATTGTTCTGGGCGGAGCGTCAGCTGACAGTACATCCTTGAAGGCAAATTGATCATCGAATAGCTGAAGGACAATATTCAAATTAAGCTGGGTCGATATCATTTATCTACGTAGATTATATCTGCATTCATAAGAGAAAATCAAATGAATGGCAAGAAAACTGTAGTTGCAGCAAAAACGTGAAAGGATTTGATGTAGAAAGGCTATGTTAGCATCGAATGCCATTCTCATGACCATGTCGTTGCGACCTTAATGATTAGAGTATAGCGTTATGATAGCTTGAATTCTTCAACGTTACTCCTTATCAACGTGCGATAAAAAATTTTCTTCTACCATAATGAATATTCAAACGATGAAGCAAAAACAAAAATCAGGTATGAAAAAAGAATGCATATTGCTTTGTTCAGAATACTTAATGACAGCTAGCTGACATTCACCTCTAAGAAGAGGCTACCCTCTGAAGATTAATGCAGCGTGTTTGTTATTGTGATGACTGAATCACATTAAGTATCACGTTTACATGATCTTTTATTAATCAATTAATTGGCTTGCGCATTTGAAATGATTTCATATGGTCAATTCATATGTTATCATCAGATAGCAATGTGCGTCCATTTGAAGAATGAAATTAGTCGTAAAAAAAGGATGATCGTATCCTTATATTTACAAACATACATTTCTTTATCATCAAAATATGATATATCAATGTCTTGAAGCGTAAATGCCATCCTCATTTCAAAACTAACATTTTCCCGGAAGCGATGTAGACAACTACAGATATGATATCATTGCAAGTTAGCATTATTTTGCTACAATTTGAGGAAAAATGCAAAGTTTTCGTAAATGCGAAACTCATACGGAATATTATAACTAATCGTTGAGAAAATCACATGGAATATTCTAATTAAAGATGAATTCCGGCAAAGTGAATTCCTCAGTACACCCAGCAAATTTCCAATGAGATATATCTTTTGAGAGAGCCTATATCTTTTTTGGAGGTTTTGTCGCTAATTTCTGAAATGAGAGCAGGAGAATGGCAGAGGTCAGAGTTTGTGAAGGAAAAACCAACGCATTTTTTTTTGAATTTGATTTTAAACTGACCCAGGGCAAATCCTGTGAATTAGGACCCCTTTTGAATTTCGCCCAAAAATACCAAAAATCCCCCTCCCCGTCTTAAATCTACGAACTGACAACAACCTACTTATTTATTATAAGTGATAAAAAAATGACCTATCCAGGAAGTCCTTTACAAGTGACATCAATAAATTTGAAAGACGTCGTGTTCAAGCAATTGGCAAGACATTCCCATTCAATTGTCCAATTCTCTTGAGAGTATGAAAGCATAGAAATCACCCAATTCAATCCAACACTGATATTTTCATTACTAAACGGGATAGTGAACATCGAGATAAGAAATTAAGTAATACAAACTTTCGTTGTTTGCTCGAGATGAGCAATGAAATGAGCGATCCTTTACGGCACAACTATGTCGTTGCAAGCAATGCGCTTAGCTGTCTGTATTTTTCAACGGCTCTTTAACTGTCTTATGGCATCTCCTTAGAAATCGTTTTGAATCGTGAGTACCACAGTTCAGATATTTTTTTCAATTTCATCAGCCAATCAAGTCTATTGGCTGATGAAATTGAAAAAAATTGGACAGTTCGTAAGGTCGAAAAAATATTTTAAACTCATCACAGGTTTTTGGCTCAACAAGTAGAAGCTTAAGAAAATCAAAACCATGCTCTTTTCACTCGTGAGGCTTGAATTTTACAATCTTTTTACTCGTGAGATTGGAATTTTACAAGATCATGGTGGAAACGGTTTTATTTTTATAAATCTCAATGTTCTGAATTCACATTGAAGAGTGTTTGCTTGAAGAAATTTTGGCTACACGTTGTCTGCACGCCGAAGTGATGAGGAGGGACATATGAAGAAAATCGGAATGTGTGAGCCCAAGCCCAAATAAGCGGTTCAAGAACGTCTTTTCATGATTACGATTTGCAAAATCCCGACCATTTTTGAATTCCGCGATCGTGATTGATTACCGTGATTCAATCACGATCTCGGAATCGCATGTTCAACGAATTCTTTCTGAGCAACTGCATTCATGATTATATGTATTTAACAAATCATACAATCTGAAAATAAAGCATCAACATCACTTAATACTGGATCTGATGCGTACGACGACCGTCAGTGATTCAACAACGTGTTCCTGAAGATGGCATAACGCCGAAACGTTGAACTTTGTAAAGAACCATCTCTATTTGCGCTGGTAATACTTTGTCAATAAAACTATATTACTATTTGAAAATGAATGATTTAGAAATGGTTGGTGAGTATTCCAAAATGAGTGTGTTAAGAAAATTGCATAAAATGCCATGTCTTATTCCGAATTCCGAGATCATTCAGACCACAAATCCCGGATCGAGATTTATAGTTCAGGATCCCGAGTACCTTGCAAGCATGAAGAGATCAAAGTAGGTTGAACAGCCTCAACAAAAATTTTACAATTGTGCTACAAGATGAACGATGGTGTAAAATTGGCGACTTGAAAAATTCATCTCATAAAGACTGGATTTTTGTATGCTAGTGTTGTTTGAGGGGGCACAACAGCGAACGTACGTACGCACAACAGCATTATGACTGAGGCTGAGGCTCAGCCTCAACCTTTAAGCGTTTGTGCCCCCTCAGACGACACTAGTGCCGATTGTTGAAGCGTAAGAAGGTTTTAAAAGAGTTCCTTGGACGAATACAAGTCCACATTTGACATATTCGAACAGGATAATTCAAATTTTGCGCAATCTATTTAAAATTAAAATTTTATTCAGCCGATAATGAAAAACATTTTCGAATGAACAACTCTTTTCAATGAAAACATGAAAGTCTATCAGAAAAAGATATAGTCAAATAAAAGGTGGATAGCATCCATGTATCAATTCGTCGAGTGAAGTTGAAGAAAATGATTACGAGAGAGATGAGGTCGGTCGGCAAAATGGATATTCACTACGAAGTAAAGAAATCACCTCTGGGGCTTTTCGATCATTTAAGAGACGTATTTATTGTGTGATGAATATGCCGGTTGATCTATCGTAGTAATTGATTGTTATGTCAGAGAAGACGCTGGAAGGCATTCTGAAGGCAAATGCGTAGAGGATTTGTTTTGAATCGAATTATGCTTCAAGCAAGGTTTGTTTTATCTTTCTGCATGTGCAATTCAAACGAATAAACACCCATCAATATTTTTCTTGAGTAAGTCATTGGTTATCTGTGAACATTCTCTTTTTTTTAGCACATCAGTGAAACCATTGCAGTCGAAATTGATTGTTAAATTGAAAACATACAAACAAATTTAAGATGAAGAATTTGGCTTCTAATTTCATTCATATATAAGTACAGAAGTTTACTGATGAATCGCGATATTGACTTCGATAACGCAAGAAATGTTTGCGAATGTCATATGAACTGAAATCGTTGGTGACAATTTCAAACTACGGGCCAGAAGTTTGAAAAATATGATCACTTTAACGATGAATAATGCACAAAAGCTTGCAGCGGATGTCACCTGTTCTGTTTACATTTACATCATCAGTTCAGATGTTGCTTAAAATGATTTGGATTATGAGT